GCGCACGCGCGACATCTGACGTTTTCTCTAAACTGTTATCTCCACCCCCGCCACCCCACCCCGTCGCGCCTCTCTGCGGCCCCCCCGCCACGCTCCAGGTGTCAACCCCTTCCTCGACCAGGCAACAATGGAGGCACACGAGACGGCGGATCTGGAGTCGCGTAAACGCTACAGCCAGTTGGTGGAATTGGATGATTGGACGGAGGGTGAGAATCAGTTCAGCGAACTCTACTACGACGTTGAAGACCTGGTGCAGTCTGTGAACGGTGGAATCTACGACTCGGACATTATTCTGCATCAACTGACCTCCGCGGAAGGTACGTTTTTGTGGCCCTCTTGTTTGTGAGAAAATGTTTACTTCGTTTAGCTCCACGTCTCTCGCTGTGTTAGTGTGGTAATGCTGTGTCTTCCTCGAACTTGTGAGTAGGTATTGTACGGAAAGACCTACTTAATATTCAACTTTATGACTAGTTGCAATAGCGCTTATCCTTCTAGCACACACTCATGTTCGCGGTGTAAGTTAGGACTTCGGCAATCGAAGGATACAGACTGGCAAAAAGTCTTTCCTAAATCTTCAGCTTCCGAGGGTACAAACCGCGGTAACTTTTGACTCTACCCACAATGTGGAGGTACTTTTGTATTACTTGCATCAACGCCGAGGATTTTCGACCTTCTATCAGTCATCTGTTTAAAAAACCTAGATTGCAGATTATCTTGCAAGCAGAATAAACTCTGCCTGTACGCGCGTGAATGCGAGTCCCAGGGAACCATTCAGAGGAAGCAGACGTGATCGCTGGAACGAGAGCTTTATGCGCTTGTCCCCAGTGTTGCCTCGAACGCAAGTGTTCGTTTGTACTTACGAAGGGGGTCACTGTAAAAAAATTGTATATTAATTTAGTTAAAAGCCTCACTCACGGCATACTTGAAAGTATTGCAAGCGGTATTTACTTTTATCCATGACAGGCCTACAATATCGCAAAATTTTTTTTCCCGAAAAACTGTTGGTTTTTCCTATTCTATGATCGAACAGTCTTTCAAGACTCGAGTGAATTAATTTTGCTAGGATAGCCTGTATAAGCATAGTCTGTCCCGCTGGACATTACATCAAAGTCCCTGACAAGAAAAATAACAGTTGCGATTAATTTCTAAAAGTTGGTTTATTATTTCTACTTCCTTTCCGTAGAATCTAACTGGGAATTATTTCGAGGTAAACCATGTAGTAACTGTGCTGACTTATGTCTTATCTAACACGCTGCATTTTAAACATTTTCCGGATCACTTCTCTAAAAGTATTCCCAAATATAACTCGCTTTGACACATTTATTGACGCATTCTGAAATATGCCAGTTAATGTACGGGTTTCAAAAATGCTCATAATTGAAAATTAAAATCGTAATCAAACGTGCTTTTGGAAGTATGGTGTCTGCCCCTCCTAGCAAAGAAAAGTGGGCTTGCAATATACGTTTACGATGTCAATATGAGTAAATAGGGAATTCTTTCCGGACTGGTATCCAAAAGTGATTTTAAAAATCGCCTGTACGTAGGTCTGACTACTCCATCGACGTGAAAAAATCATAACTTGACTTTACAGCGTTTTTTTCTCTAAATGTTGGATTCCATTTCCGCTCACGTTAGTTTTTAATTTTTAGACTGGTTGCCGTTCAATTGCTATCATTTGTCTTTATATTATAAAAGGCACAGTTTAGAAAATCTAATAAAATTATGTTCACACGGAGGGCAATTTTTTGCCAATATCCATCGAGTCTAGCTATTCAGCTGTATTTCGTACATTTCGGTTTTTAGATAGAAGACTTCCTACTGCAGTAAACTATCTTATGTTTTTCATGAATTATTGCTTATATTACTTTTTGAACTAGGCTATCCTTGTTTTACTGCTCCTGTATCTACAGTTGATTTAGTATCTCATGAAACGTCGACCAAAATTCTGAAATATGTTTTCAGTTGGAACGAATCACTTAAGAAGGGTTGTACTGCGGCCTAAACCCAATAAACTTAAGTAACGTGAGGATAGGGGCTTCGACTGAGCTTTTTTGACAGCCTGTAAATAGTACCCTGTACAACTGATTGCCTACCTAGCATGCACTTTCCCCATTGGTTATCACGGCACACATCAATTCTTGTACGCGTTTGGTAGAAGATTATGCCTTCTTCAAAGTGCATACTTTAAAAAAGGTTATATCTGGATTCTAAAAAGTTTCTAAATTTCCGAATAATTTTGAACCTTACCAGCCGTCACATTGATATTCAAGATTTCCAAATGACATCCTTTAAATAAGTTTGTCTAAGGAATATATATTTCCCTATGTTATGAGAAATTGGTAACATAGTTCTCATAAAAGGTTGCAATGGATGTGGATTATGTTGTCTACTTTAGAGACAGCATGAATAAATTGACAGATACGATGTATTGTGAATTCGTAAGAAATCGTATAGTTAAAAACAGACTTTCTTCTGGTATAAAATTTTAAAAAGGCTTAGTTTGCCGTCAAACAAATAGAAAAAAGTTTTTTTGTTTTCTATAAAATGTATTTAAATTTATCAATGTTTTTTTTTAAAGTCAATGATTAAAATGCAGATTAATTAATTTGTGATTTTGTACAGAGTATACTTTTTCTGGCAGTCAAAAAAGCCGGTATCCTGACGTGACTGAAATATATCTGGATTAGGCTGTAGGATTAGGCTCTATTATAAGGCTAATTAAGTAATTTTTACTAATCCAAAACACATTTCAGAACTTAGTTTGACGCTTCTTGAAGTAGGGAATCCACTGCATTATGCTACGTTCTTGCCGCTACACGCTCAGTCTGTAATTTGCTTCCGTGCCTCTGCAGATTAGATTTCATTCAGCGTGCAAAAACTTCGAGTACTCAGTGCCCGTATTTCCCACTTTAGTATCTAGTGATTTGAGCTAATCTCTACATGACACAAATTTCCAGCTTGAATTGAATAGGACATTCTTCTCCTAACTGGCTGCTGTCCTTCCTAGTCGTTTGTCATCTAAGTTTATTCTAAAACTGCAAGGCAGAACGGTGATAAATTTAACAAGTCAGCCCTATGAAGACATCAATGGACGGTTGATTTGGAAAACCAAATTTCTTAGCGGCAATCTTTCGAAGAGAGCAAAATGTGGGGTTGGAATCAGCTGAAACTGTCTTTCGTCTTATGCCGACTGTGAGCGTATACGTCACGCCTTTGACTGCGAACGTAACAAACAAGCAAACCAAGCATAGTCCTGTCTTTTATTTGCCTGAATGCATTATTTCAGAATCAGCATTATAACAGCAATAAAGCGCTTATGTTCCAAACCATTTTTGACCTGTTTCACACTTAATAAAATTATCGCGAGTGCGTTCGAGTTTCGATGGTTTAAGCATAAACCTATTTGCCGCATAATCTAGGACTTTATGGCGTTTTGCTTTTATAAATTCAAATATATTTTATGGAAAACATGTACAAAAAAATTATTTCTTATACTGGTCTGGTAGAAAATTACGCCTTCTTTAAATTTTATACTTAAAGAAAGAGTATATTTCGATTTTAACAGAGTTTCTAAAGTGCCGAATAATTTTGAAAACTACTGACCGCTACACTCGAATTCAAGGTTTGCAAGCTGCGCGAGGTGTACATCCTGTTTAAGGAAAAGTACGTTTTTGTCTACGGTTTGAGGAAACAGTCATAGAGTTCTCATACAATGTTGCAATAGGTGTTGAACATGCTTTATACAGTACAATCAGCATTAATAAATTGACCGATACGCTATATTATGATTGAACACCTCACAAACGTAAAAAAGATCATAATTAGAAACCTTTTTAAAACCCGAAGATACCTTTTCTTTAAGTATACAATTTAAAGCAGGCGTAATTTTCTACCAAACGATTACAATAAATATTTTTTCGTGTATGTTTTCCATAAAATATATTTGAATTTATTGCGGCAGTCAAAATCAATGATATAAACGCATACTATTTGAGTAGTTAATTTTTGTAGTACATGCGTTTTGTTAGTGGTCAGAACGAAGCTCGTTAAAAAGCCCGCAT